GCTTAGGCGGTGCGGGGCAGGCGAATCGATTGGCGCTGACCTAGGGTTACGTAGGCGCGTGGCGGCCAAATAAAAGGCCCAAACCTAGGGTTACGAGTACACAGAGGCAATTAATTAGTGATTAATTACTAATTAGTTCCATGCTTTGATTATATTAATTTGATTTGTTTCAACTTCCATGCTTGTCTCAGTAGGATGGCAACGGGTGAGACCAACGTGGCAATAGAGGCAACAGCAACAGAGGCAACAACAACAGAGGCAACAGCAACAAATTCAGTTGTTCTCAAGCGAAATTCAGATGATGTAGGATGGAAGTATGGGGCGCTAGTTGATCCTCTGAACAAGGAGAAGGTCCGGTGCTTGTTTTGTGGCCATACTAGCTCAGGAGGGATTTGCCGTCTGAAACAACATGTAGCACATGTTGGGACTTCGGTGGTTAAGTGTACGAAACAAACCGAGGACGCTAAAACAGCATGTAAGAAGTCACTTGAGGAGGCAACAAGGAAGAGAAAGGAGAAGACTGCTCGTGATCTAAATCTGAGAGAAGAAGTGAATGTTTCTAGAGTTGGAGAGCAGGAGCAGGATGAGGTAACTTGTGTTGGAAGCCAAGTTGCAAGCTCGGAGCCTCACAAATTAGGCCCGATTGATAAGTGGACAAGGGCAATTGATCCTAAAGCTACACAGGCTGAATCTTTAAAGCAACAAAAGATCAACAAGGAACTTTGGAAGCAAAGAACACATGAGGTTCAACAATACATTGCAAGATGGATGTATATACATGGTAAATAACACTGCTGCTATTTAAGTATTTATTGACTATTGTTCTGTTTTCATTCCTAAAAATGATGAATACCTTGCTTGATATTCCTAACATATTACTCATATATTCTTTGATACTTGACAGCGATACCATTCAACGCCGTCAACAATGATGAATTCATGCAAATGTGTGAAGCTATCGGGCAATTTGGCCCTGGTTTGCAGCCACCTTCTCAAGACCACCTAAGGGGAGTTCTTTTGAGTGAGGAATATGAAAGAACCAAGAGTTTGGTTAAGGAACATGATGCTGAAAAGATAAAGAATGGTTGTTCAATCATGACAGATGCTTGGTCTGATAGGAA